CCCCCCCTCCATCTGAGTGTGGACAGGATTATTTAAGAGCCTCAAACAGCTTACCTGGTACATCCCTGTGAGGCAGGAACTGCGTCTTAAGTCCCAGGCAGCACCACAGCCACGTTTGTGGATTACTTGACTCTTAGAAGCTTGGTGCTCTTTTTCTTTTTTCTGCTTCCCCCCCCCCCCCCCCCCTCCCCGCCCCCCCCTTTTTAAGATGAAAATTAGTGTCACTTCATGGTAGCAGATTTCAGCATTGGCTGTTATCATAAGACTCTGTATATGGGCATGCACTTTACAAGCCTCATTGCCCTACCGGAGCAGCAGCAAAGGCGCTCGGAATTCCTTGCACCACAAACCCTTGTTCGTGTTGCCCACAACTACATAAACGAGTCATAAAAGGTCACATCAGGGACATGGATGAGGGGCAGCATCCTTGATCCCATGACCTGTAGTTCCCATTAGCGTTGGGGTGGCTCATAAAGCACAGTAGTGACTGTAGAGAATGTGTGCAGCTCTTGACTGAGGCAGGTTGGGTGTGGGTGAGTGGGGCATGAAGTACCTTCCTACCACCCACTTGACTTGTGTACAGCATGAACAACTGCGAGGAAATCATGACCCTATGGAAACAGAATATCCATCAATTTCCCTATGGAAGGTTGGTTTTTCTCTTCTGTAATTGAAGTAGCTGCTCCGCACCTTCCCGCCTTCACTTCTCCATGTTATTAAAAATAATTCTTGTCAGGCAGAGCAGAGGCTTGGCCTGCCAAGGAATACATGTGGATCAGGTCTTGGGAGAACTGATCTTGCTCTTTTTCTTCTTTTTTTAATTTTTTTTTTTTTGTTTTTAGAAAAGCCTCTTATTTGAGCAGAAGGTTTTTGAACTAATGAGTGTTTCCCAGAGGTTTTATTTGTTGTCTGAAAAGAAGTACTCGATCATTGTTTTTCCTGATATATGTGAATTTTGTTTAGTACATGCATCTAATTAGAGACTACAGTTGTTGTTATAACAAAGTGTTACTTCACTTTCAATCCTGAATAGCAATTATCTTCCTGGATTGTCCTTTCTCTCCAAGGAAGTTCAGGCAAACAGACCCACCACTTGGGTTTGGACAGCATCATCTGACTTTTAGGTGGGTAGGTCCAGGAGCGGGATCCACAGCCGTGGCTTAGGCATCGCTCAGCGTGGGGCATGTGAGCAGATTTATGCACTGCTGGCTAGTGGGCTCAGTTTCTGCTAGCTGAAAAGAAAGAGGAGGATGCATGGAAATCTCCTGTCAGTTTAGGATGCCCATTTCAGAAAGGGAGGACTAGCTTGCTCCCTTCTTTGTTGAGAAAGAAGAGAAAAGATGACACTGCCCACCCACTGCACCCTAGTGGGTTCAGAGCATGCTTAAGAGGGGGACACCAATTTCATGCTTCAGTTAAGGCGATTTTCAGGCCAGAAGAGTGCCAGGCTCTGAGTGCGTGACATGACTCACTCTCTCCTCTTGAAACTGCCTCCAAGTGCAGGAGAGACGAGAAATGGAGTTTCATGGGACTGGAAAGTGAAGGTAAGAGAGCTAAAGAAGGACAGTTTCAAGTGCTTCACCTTTCTTATGAGAGCAGCGTGTGCATTACCCATCGCTGCCTTCATGAACATGTCTGAGTGAGCAGGGCTGTTATTGCCCTGCTTTATTTTGAGTTCACACCTCTGTCTGGTGGGTGTTCACACAGAAGACCATCTCAGCTCATGTCCAGGCACCTGACTGCTTGGGCGGGCTTTTATGGATAGAGTATGACAAATGCAGAAACCCTGGATAACTTGCTACAGATACGATGTCTGGGTATTCCATGTACAGGTCATAGTAATCTGTCCTCCCTTTTTTCTAAACTGAAGTCCAGAGAATATTTTATTTGCCTGCCTGTGTCTTTGTTCATATGCTACAGATCAGAAACCTTAATTCCCACTTTTGCTCTTTATCAGAGTGCTGAAGTTCATTGTCTGTCTTTGCTATATAAATGACTGTCTACCACAATGCAATATAATTTCAGCATTTAGTTTTACATTAAAAGGAAGTCTTACAAAAATGTTCAGATTAAGAAAAGCAATAGATAATTATATCTACTTTAAGCTCTTGGGGAAGTCTTGTGCTTATAGGCACAAGAGTATTTTCTTGTTTAGGCATAGGTTTAGGCAAAAGAGTATTTTCTTTTGTCTGTGTAAGGGAGCAGTTCTTAAGATCAACACTTCTGAATCTCATCTGTGCTTGCAATGATTGATCTTCCTCCTACCTCTGTCTAACTTGCTGCTAGCTTATACTCTTAGTCTTCGGGTGAAGATTTTGGATCTCTTCCACAGCACATTGTTTGTTCAGCCCTATTTTGTACTGGAACTTCATGGATGTTGTTGAGTTAGGTCAATGCAGTTGAGATGTGCATAATGTATGAGGGTTTTGTGCCAGCACAGTGTATCATTTTACCTGGCTCTTGGGGAAAGCTCATGTTTCCTGGACACGTAGGCAGACTTTTTGGTGTTGTTTCCTGAAACACCCATTGCTGCAAAGGAGCCCTTTGAACCTGGTGAAAATGCTGAGTAGATAGATACCTCTTTTTTTTTTTTTTTTTTAAACAGGCCAACCTGACAGGTTTACATCCAATGATGATTTTGTCCCCTTTTCCTGGGAGCATTTAGCATACCATTACTTTTTTCCCAAAATGCCTTTTGAATTCTAGTTAAGCTCTCCCTGTTTTTGCCTCAAGTCTCAAATAAAATGCAATTCATCCCTTTCAAAAGGCTTTTAAAAATTATTTTTCCTTTGTTGGGTGTGGTTTTCTTTGGACAGTGCTTGTCTGACAGCCACATGCAGTAAAACACTGTGGAAAGCTGACACAGACCAAGTCATTGCCTAACTTAGAAATCTAACAATTAAGCTGTCCCCTTTTTGAAGCACTTCTAGATGGTGTTCTCTGATTGTGTTGGAACTGGGATTAGCAAGTTTGTGTTGTATTCTCAGATAATTTATTGTCCTGTTTAAAAAATGCAAAATACTCAATGTCAGTAATTGTCAGTGATCACAATTCAATTATTTCAGTTAAAAGGAAATAAATAAGCTCAAGTTCTGAAGGTATCATAAGTCAAATCCTCTAATTTTCATCTCTTGAGTTTTAAGATGTACATTTATAGATTCAGTTGTAGGGAGCCAGGAGGGATGTTTCCAAGTGCTGTTCTGTACTGGATAGAAGCATCAAACTATAATCCCTTCTCTGTATTTAACCTTGTGTACATGTGTGTGATGTAGTATGTATTTTAAGGAAAGATTAAGGAGAGAGAGCACCTATTCCACTCTGAACCCTGCTTAATTTTGGATGGGAAAAAATGGCACAAAACTAGTCTGTATGATTTAGTGGAAGGTATAAGTTTGTATACATTGCATCATGATTTTCTTCTTTATTGAGATTTTTTTGACTCGGATGAAATTTGGACAGGTGCTTTTGCAAGATTGGTGCCATTTCAATTTGAACAATCTTGAGAGAGCAACATGTATTATATGGTTTTCCTTTTGAAAAGCTTCCTCTGAAGCCAGTAGGAATGAGGAGAGTTGAAACAGTGTTACAGGCATTTTGATGCCTTTTTGACAGAGGTAAAGCAGATTAAGGAGTTAATTTTGTCTTTACGCCTTCTGAAACATGATTTTTTTTTTTTTTTTTTAAAAGCAGATACCTGATACTGTGTGTGTAGGGAGTAAAGCTGCTTTCTGTAATAGCAAGATTGAGATCCTGGAGGAAAGGCCCCTACTCTGAGGACAGATATAGATGAAAAATAGTTGTTTTAGTTGTTGTTGCAGTATGCTAACTTGTTGCAATGATGATACTGCAATTTGAATGTACCTAGCTCTGTTTTCCAGGTCCTAAACTTCTAAAACTTAGCATTGGGTATAGCTGGCATTCACTTTTTGTGCTGCCACACTTGCTTTCATGCTGCCTCCCCTGGCACCGGCGGGGGCTGCCGGTGGCAAGTGTCCTGGCACGCTTTGTGTGCCCAGCATGCGTGGTTCAAGGCAGGTGGAAGGAAAAGCTGGGGCTCCGCAGCACCCCAAGAGCCGCCAGCCCACGCCGCGCTCTGCAGCTCGGCGAGGTGCCCGAGCCCCTCCGCGGGGTCTCCACGAGGTGGCACAAGCAAGCCGCCGGCGGGGTCGGCGGGGGCTGCCGGTGGCAAGTGTCCTGGCACGCTTTGTGTGCCCAGCATGCGTGGTTCAAGGCAGGTGGAAGGAAAAGCTGGGGCTCCGCAGCACCCCAAGAGCCGCCAGCCCACGCCGCGCTCTGCAGCTCGGCGAGGTGCCCGAGCCCCTCCGCGGGGTCTCCACGAGGTGGCACAAGCAAGCCGCCGGCGGGGTCCAGGAGCCTCCGAGAGACAGGATGGTAATGGCTTCGTGGCGTGATCTTCCTCCTTTTTCAGAAGAGATTGTTAATTAGTGTGATTAACTTGCTGGTTTTGCTCTGGAAGCCCAGGTCTGAGCCTTAGTGAGGCAGGCGCTGAGGAGACCTAAGCAGCCAGGACAGCGGGGATGGTCTGTCCAGGGCTGATGCAGCGTCCTCGGGCTGCTGCTGTAATCGGTGGAGACAGCAACCCCTGCTCTCTGTCACCCACTCTGGAAACGTACCCCGTGGCACTTCGTGGTGTCCTCTGCATGCTTTGCTCTCTCCTCCCTGTGCTCCCTCACCTGGGGAAGAGTGACCAGGGCGACCAGGTGTGAGGCAACCCTTGTGGGCACCCAGCTCCTGTCTGCCGCTGCATCGTGCCTCCTAAAAAGAGGGGTAGAGCAGACTAAATTAGCTGCTTCCTTGGTATGAAACGATAACCTTTTGAACAGAGGATATAGAAATCCTTCCCCCCCCGCACCCCGTCAGGGTCTGACTGAGTGGCACGTGCTGCCCTTTGGGCTGAAAGGTGCATCGTTTGATTCTGCCCAGCATTGCTCAGCTCTTCCCCTGCACACAGGTTGCTATGTGGGAATGAGCTGTATGCTACAGAAAAGAGGAGGAAAACAGGGCAAGGGGGAAAAAGGTTTGCTCTGAAATCCTTCTGCAGGTGTAAAATGAGGAAAGCTTTGTATACACTCAGACTTTGTCTAGAATGAACCCCTTTATACCAGTAAAGACTTCAGAGGTGTTCTGGGGTTTTTGCCCCGTTTGTGCTTAACTACTTTCCCAGCAGCACTGTTATAAAGTATTTCATTAAAAGCCAATGTCTCTATATCAGAATAAGTTAGTGGCAATGGTGGGCTTTATTTTATTTTGGTTTATGTGTTCCCCTCAAATCTTGTTGAATTGTAGGAAAGCCTCCCCTTCCTTTCCTCCCCCCAAAAAAGGAAACGTCAAACAAAGTATGTAATATCAAATTAAACGTGGCACTGAATATACTCTGGCAAGTCATGGTTCTAAATTCAAGTTCTGAACAACAACTAGATGGAAGAGCCCATGAACAGCAATGATTCAGAAAAATCCAGTACACAGATCTAGTTTAAGTCAAGGAAACTCTGAAAATGAGGCCCTAAGGATTATCCTCCTTCTCTCCTATAATAGATGCTTCTGAATTCTGCTTATTGAAAGAAATAAATTTTAATTTAGGCATTCCAGCACTTGCAAGTATATGTATGATGGCGCTGAAACCAGGTAAGGAATTGTACATTGTTTGAAGGTCTCAGAGGATACTCTGAACTGTGGAGATGAAGGTGTTTTAAAATTCCTAGCAGTGTCTAGAAAATCCACTGTAGTATTTGTAAATTTAAATTATTTTGGTGGTTAGAAATGTCTGCTTCCTTTGAACTGTTCTTTTCAGCTTAATTTAAAAATATATAGAAACCATGGGGAGGAAAATCAGCTTCTCTATAGCAAGATTAGATAAAGTGGCATTTATAACAGGCCCATGTCTGTGACCAAAGGTTCTGCGAGCTTTGATTTTTAGCTTGGAGGTGTTTTCCTCCTGGTCCTCACTGCTCCACCACCACCCCTCCAAAAAGGAAAGAGGGGGGAGGAGGAGGGGGGAAGGAAGGAAAAGGGAAAACCACAAGTCAATGAGAGCACGGGCTAAGAGCCAGCAGTAAAACGCCGAGTCTCTCCGGCAGCAGAGTGCAGTGCCCGTGTGCAGCAGAGGATGGCCTTGTCGGGCAGCGCTGCACGTTTCTTGCTGTCCCTGCCACACCGCCCGCCTCAGTACTGTACTCATGGCACAAATGGGATCGGTCCCTATGTATGCCGGCCGGCGAAGGGTCACGTTATTTGTGACAGACACCTCTGCCTAGCCTGCTCGGGACAGCAGCCAAGTGCTGCTGAGCATCCTCACTGCTGCCCCAGGTCACCTCCCTCTCCTGAAATTTGTAGGAAACAAAGCATGGTCCCTGGCCTCCTCCAACTCTGCAGATTTTCAATCAAATTGCAGATGTTACAGTTTGCATTTGTTGTGGTGCTTTTCCTTAGATAAATTCAGCTTTAAAATAAAGCTCTAAATCCTGTACCCCAAGGCGTGGACAATTTGAGCTGTTTGTTGCTCAGTGCAAATATGAAAATGGCTGAAGTATAGCTCTCTGTGTGTGTACACAGAGGCAAACAAATATATTCATAATAAAAAACACATACAAGTAGGCAGGGTTTAGCTGGAAAGATCTGCCAGTACTTGCAATAGCAATGTTAAATGATGCTCCCTGTTTGAATCCAGTATTACAAGGAAAGACCAGTTTGAAATTGGATTTGATTCTGGGCACAGGAGAGGAGGGTAATTTGTAACATGCTTTGTTATTATCCCAAACTAAACTAAGAGGCAGCAGAATGAATTCATTGGCATATACTTTAATTTTTGTTTAAAATGTATGGAGTACTGGAAAATAGCTCATTTCCTTGTGTCTTTTATGTTCTCCAAGCTTTCAAGGGACACGCTCTCTCTCTCTCTCTCTCTCTGTATATATTTATATATTTTTTCATTCCTGGGCTTAATTGATTGTTGGTGACAGATGTGACTTGTGTTCTCCATGTCTATTAAGCAGGAAGGCTTTTTTATATATAATATTTCTTACAGTCAGAATCAGTTGGAAGCTAAACACAGGAAGAACTATTTGAGTAGGTATGTACCTCCTTAAATTTGGGCCTGTGCACATGCATAAAAATTAAGTCTTTTCAGGACCTCATAAAAGCAGTGAGATGAGACACAGGGTTAAGTACTGTGGTTCGTCCCGGAAAGTCTGTGAATGACTAGTATTTTTCAGTAAATACGGTTCTACTGACCTTCCTGCCCCGGCCCCCTTAACAAGTTTAGCATCCACCCATTCCCTCTGTTTCTGAAGCGTAGCCTTGTGGCATGAGCGTGCCTTGCTGCTGTTTGTAAAGGTATGCTCTGCAACCCTAGCGTCCCTTTTGGAGAGCAGGTAGTTAGTCATGTCGTAGCTAGGTCTCATTAATTATTTGCTGTCTATGTAAAGCACTCTCCAATTATACCACCAGGTACCTGTTGTTAAGCTACATTTATCTTTGCCTTCATGGTGCTTTTTCCATAGAAAATTCCCTCGCATCCCTCAGAGTTGCCATTTGTTCCTTGATGCCTGATGTTTTACAATCTCCTGTCCTGATTTTTCCCGAACATCTTTGTATCATAAGTAATACGTACTCCTCCACTTGCCATTCTGCTCCCTGACCATGTGGCTGTAGCTGCAACAGTAAAGAAAGCTAGCGGGACATGCAGTTTAAGAAAGACACTCTTGTTTTTTTAGGGGAATCTTCATTTTCTAAAACATTAATTGCAATGCTGTCTTTATAAATCTTGTTCTCTTTTCCCATAGGATTTGCAAATAGAACGAGAGAGGACTGTGTATAATATTTCTGGCGGCTGCACAGCCCTTGTGGTGGTGTATTTATTGGGGAAGCTTTACGTGGCAAATGCTGGTGATAGCAGGTGAGTAAGTGTGGTGTCTCCCCAACTATTCCTTCATCCCAAACTCCCCAGATCTGGTGTTGCCAAGTTCCTTAGTTGCAAACAGTATCACAACAGGATTCTGTTTCTTTAACGGACCTCACAGAAATTAATGCAAATGGCAGTGATAGTCTTCCAGTATCTAGCAGCGTGGTGGATGCAGTCAGGGAGTTTGATGACACTTCTGTCCCTGTAGCAGTTTCTGAATGACTTGATGGTTGCAGAGAAGTGGAAAGACGCTAAAGAGCCATTGAAACAGAAGAGATGTTGGGTGCGTAGTAGAATTGTGAGTTGAACACTGACAAGGTGACTGCATCTGGAACAGCAGATGCTGTTCAGTAGGAAGTCCTGTGGCTCCTGTCCTCAGCCTTAGTCTTGGAAGGCCACCTAGCTCTAAGATTTTAATATAATTGAAAGTAATCATCTGTAAGCAAATAACTGCTGCTCCTGCAACAGGGAGGAAGGGAGAGAAGAGGGGCTATCACAGGTTAGGATTTTTACTGTGTCCTGTTCTAGCTCGTGTACTTGTCCATTTCTCAGAACTAAGTGCTGTTGTTCAGGAGTTGTTGCTTTGTTATATTTAGAAGTTGGATGCTTGAAGACTTGTGACGAGAAGCTTTTTCTTTGTCTTCTGATTTAGCTAAAGCTAGGAGCATACTGCAAATCTCTCACTTGCATTTTATTCCTCTCTCTCACTCTCTGCCCATAACATCATCAGAGAGAAGATAATGAGGCTGGACTTGCAAGACTTTAGACCTTCACATGTTTCTTTTGGCAGCACTCTGCATAAACAGGCCAGGGAGAATAGTTTCCCGCATGATACAGACTGCTGTTGTGTTCTCTTAGTTAGCAGCTGAGAAATTAAAGTCTGCAAAGGTACTGAACCGCATTGTCTTTAGGTGAAGACTGCTACAGTTATGCATTTGTGTTTGAGGTTTGTGGGCACACAGTTCATGTTTGTACTGTGTGCACAGTGTATCTACAGAGACAGCAGTCACCCGCGAAATCTTTTGTAGCTTAAACCTAACATTTTTATTGCCTCTTGCTGCTTTAAACTGTGTAGGAAGTCAGATAAATCCTTTCTGCATAAAATTCCTATTCTTTTCATGCTGGTGATTGTTCTTAATATGCTGAATTTGCTGTTTATATTGCAAATTGCTGACCCAATTCCTCTTGACAAGTGACATATATGGATCTTTTTCGCATCAAATGTCAAATGAGTCCTCACAGAGGGTAGCTGCAAACATATTTGAGTAGACCACCTATCTAGTCATCAGAACCACTAGCTGCACAAATTTTAGCTCTTTTGCCATTAAATTAGAAATAATCATGTTTTCCTGTGCTATTGTACTTGAAGCACAGTTGATTCTCTTCCATTGGGTTGGCTAAATTGCTTTATTGTCTCTTAAGTGTGCTGTGTAAAACGGACCATGCAGGACCTACTTCTGAGTAGTTGAGATCTTTGTTCTTAAATGACTGGCTGCTTCCAGTTCCCCCAGGATTTCTCCTCTGCTTCCCAGAGCAGCCTCAGCTCCATTGCAGCCTCTGACACCCAACAGGAAGAAACTTGTTGTCGGTGATCTGGAATTAACACAAGCGTCCTCTGTAGTTAAAGCCACCAGCTCTTCAAGAGGCTTTGAAAGTTCATCAAGCCCATCAAAAACATCTCTTCAGAAAAACAGGAAGAGCAGGAATTAGAAGGGAAGCCATCAGCAAGATTGGGTCTTGTTTGAACCAGGACTCAAATTTTCCTACTCATTCCTCACATCTTGTAGGTAACAGGGTCCCTCCAGATCCAAAATAGTTTGGTTTTGCACTTTCCAAATGGACCTCACGGAAACCTTCCTCATGCTGAGGAGAATCATCTGGATTCCCAAAGTCTTTCACTTTCAAATAATCCCACTTCTAGATTTTTGTAGCTCAAGAAAAATAAAAACTTCAAAGTGTAGAAGATCAGTTGATCTGGGCCTCTCTCCCACCAAATCCCCACTTCCCATGTCAGAAAGGGAGAAAACCAGCTATTGCAAAACATCTAAGTTGCCCCTCATTACTAAAAGGACATTTTAGGACTAGAAAAGCAGCTCTGAGGTTGTCTGCCTACTGCTAGGGTGCACAGTGCATTCCTGTATTTTTAAGAGCCCAGTCACGTAGCCAAGAAGTTTTATTTGTGTTAGTTGGAAAAATATGTTCCTTTTCGCTGTATCATGCCATGCGTGGTCAACTTTGCAGTTTGTACAGATACAAATGAGGGCAGTGAGAAATACAATAAGGAAACTACTTAAAAATGTTTGTCTGCGCTTGAGAAGGCGGCTGGGGTTTGTTTTTTCACCCAAATAGGGGACTTGTGCTTGTTGCTGTTGGAACTAGATGCCGAAACCCTCAGTTCTTCAGTCGAGCTTTAGTTTCTTTGAGTTCACCTACTCATTTGTGCCCCTTCTCTGTCCACGCTCTCCTTCTCCCCTCTCCACTCCCCCACTGTAAAAAGCCTACAAATAAATCAAGCTACACTTCCCACAGACAAGAATCTGTGAGAGGAGGTTTTGTGCTGCAGGGGTGGGAAATAAACATTTTGGGTTCACGCAAACCTCATTTTACTGCCTCTGCCCAGAAGAAGGTTAGGTCTTTTAATTCCAGGCAACTTCAAAACAGCAGAAGCTTTTAAAGGTGGGTTTTGAACAGCTTCTGCCGTCACAAGACCAAGGTATGTGCAACAAACTGTTACTATCACAATGAGACTAAGGAAACACCAAGTGTGAGACTTGAATAATAATGTGCTATGCGGTGCCAGCTATACCTCAGACTTATGTCTGTGGTATTCAGTTTAACCACCAAAGCCTCTCAAATCTAATCATTTCATGCCACGTACCCTGGCAGTGTTGTATAGCAGCTGTCCTTTTGTAGTTGATGTGTAATTACATCATGAAAAGACTTTAATTACCATATTACTAAATTACCAGCCAGCAATCCTTTCAGGTTCAGCCCTAGCTCACTTCTGTATGGACTATTAGGCTTCTCCAAGCTGAACACTTTTGGTTGGTGTAAAAGGGAGGAAAAACTGTGCTAATTGTAGGTTTTGTTGTGAACTATTATTGAGCTTGATGTTATGGCATCACTAATGTCAATGATATAATTAAACTTCTGCTAACGATGCAATCACAGTTCTGTAATAATTATACGTTAACTGCACATGATACCAGAACCCTACTAAAAATGAGGTGATGTATTCAGAGCCTGATAAAAACAGCTTGGAGGGATCCGCTTTCATTCTCTAATGGCTTGTCTGATCATTCTTGGACTCTGCCATAAATATACCTACTTGCACAGTCAAAATTCATGTCTGAATATTGGCCAAAGCCTTTTCTAATGTTTCTCTCCCTCCCTCTCTCTCTCTCTTTGTTCCTCTCAGCGGTTAGGGTTGTCCATGCAAGGTTATCTAATTAGGGACTGATAGTGCTATAGTCAGCTGTCCAATATATAGTGCTCTTCTGGTGAGCATTGGTGTGGTGTGCTTTGCTTACCAGTTTGACATATACACTACGGTAACTAGGCCAGGCCCTCTGAATAGCTGCTTTTTTTTAATAAGGAATAGTAAATCTTCTCTGCTCAGTCTTTTAAATAGTATTGTTCAATTTTATATTGCTAAAGTGACTTTTACTTCTAAACTGCCATAACACGCCTTGTTAATCTCATTTCTTTTTAGTTTTATGCTCTTTATTGAGATGTTGTTTTATAGCTAGTGATGAAGCAGTAGTAAAACAGGGACTTGATGTTTTTACTGATTACTGCCCCATTATTGTATAGCCTTATGCAACATAACATTTGCCCAATATCACTACAGTGACTGTAATGCAATATGATCATGTTAACTATCTTTGGCACGAGTGTTCTTCTGGCTTTCATGTTGTCTGGCTAAGAGGCTGCTCAGAGACTGCAGGCACTGCCATTTTGTGCTGTGCTTGAAGCCACGTAGGGTAGCTGTGCTTTTATCATTATGCGAGAAGCAGAACACCACAAGTTGATTTGACTTTTCCATAGGCCCTGAAACTCTCACTAAATCTGCAAATGGGTTCTTGGGCTTTTTTGATTTATTGGCAGAAGATGGGATCAAAGCAAAGAGCTTGATGTTTCAGAGGCTTCACAGACTTGCAGGGTCACTGGATTTTTTGCTTTGCTTCATGAGATTTTTTTACCATCTTTTTGCTTCCTTGCTTTTGCTCCCCTGTGCTTATGTTTTCAGGGCATGTTCACCCTCTGCTTGAACAGATATCCTCACCTCCAGAATAGATTTTTCTCCTCCTTTTTGCAAGTGTAGAATTAATGCTAAGGCATCTGGTATTGTTAAATGATAGGAGCTCATTGAGTGAATGTTTTTGTGGGTGCTTCCATCTGGGTGCAGGTTAAGCAACTTCATTGGTGCTTCAGGTGCCCAGATGTGGGAGAGTGTGTTTATAACTCCCAGTGTAATAAAATAGTGAATTGAAAATTGAATTCTACTTCACTTACTGTTTCAGTTCTTCCCGGATTTGCTGCTTGTGTTGAATCTCACTACGTTTATACTTCAACTTCTTCTGTGTCATGGTGCTTGTCAACTGCTTCCCTCATGCATAGTTCTCATTGTAGGAAGTAAAATTTGCAGGATTAATCTGCTTTTATGAAGTAAATGAGAGAGGCATGGAAATGGCCACATATCTGCTGACTGGCACTGTAGCTTAAATAGAATTTCTGAGAAGTCAGAATTGATGATTCTGACCCATTTTTGCGGTTCATGGTATCTGACCTCTTCCTCAAGGCAGTCCAGCAGAAGCTCTAACACTGTATAAGGATGGAAACCAGAAAGTGTTCTAGTATGTTACTATTGTAGAACTAGTTTGCTTTAGTCTTTGGTTTACGGTATTTTTAACAAACTTTAATTTTCTGATTTTCTTAAACTACCCATCTTCTGATCTAAATGGTGTGTATTTTCCCTGTTTTTGCTTGAGCGG